AGAAATCACGTGTTCTCAATAAAATTTTGCCAAGTGTAGGTATTACCTACTTTCTACATTACAAACGCTTTGTGTATGTTCACTTTTAAGTTCTAACAATGATTTTTTTCAAGTTTCGCCCGAGTTTACTAAACTTATTTTTTATCATATTAAAATTAAATATAATTTGTTTAAATGGCGATATTGATATAGAAAAACATAAAAAAATTATAGAAGATTTACCAAAATTGTCGGATTTAGACGATTATATATTGTTTTTGGACAAAACAGTAAATTTTGTTGTGGAACATAAATATTATATGGATGTCAACATGAACTGGGCGCATTTGGTGTTTGGAGGTAAGATATGTACTTATACCTACATATACCTACTTGTTTAATAATTCGGGCTGATCTTGGCCATATGAGCCGCCACTGTAGGGAACAGAGAGTATAAGTTCCCTAAGATCGGAAAAGGAGGATCCTCCGACCAGGCGAGGTGATCGTGCCTGGCGGGCTTTCTGCCCAACAGTTGGTCGTTGGGATTTTCTATCCGTGTTAAATCGAATGTAAACTTCGCATGTGCGATGTAGGATTTTATGACGTCATCCGTTGACTTGTGACATGTGTCGCCACAGGTCTTTGCCTATGAAATTGCCGTTTTGTATGAATTTAAAACAATTTTTTCATGTATGTTCACTATTGTGTTCAGTTCTTCACCGTACACATCAGCTGTAGCAATGCTCACCCCGTTTGGTAAGAAGCTGTGATGAATCACACCGGCGCTAGACCGTCAAATAGTGACCATCACTTTTCTAGCGGTGAGTTTTCGTTTAGGGCACTTTTTGGTGCTGAACTAGAATCCAACCAACTTGCTGAGCGCTTGCGGTTACCAGACAGTAAAGAAGATAAATATACATCGCAGGTAACAATGCTAACAGGTACCTAAGATTACTTCATTTGTGTATCTGTTGAGCAATGCAAGGTACGCCTCGACACGCCTACCTACTTCGCGCTGGCGATCATTGAGTTCGTGGAGAACACTTTTGCTAAGCTTTTTTACCTTGTCAATTTGAAAATAATGGACCATATTATATTGTTTTGATACTGGCGTCGAAACTGCTGCTAATTCAGCCGTAGATTGTGTATCAGTGTGTGTAGCTTCCTTAATCGCCTTTAATTCGTCATTGTCGACCAAAGTCTTCGGACGAGCGCGAGGTTTTTCAGGTCAACAGGTGGTGTGTTGGTTTGTAGTGTTAGCTCTTTAAACGTCGTTGATGTTCCATGCTGTTTGTGCAGAGTTGCTGCCACGACGATACTCATATTCCATAATTAGGTAAGTACTCGAATTTTGACGTATCCATGATAACGAAAATGATTGAAATGCGATGAAAATGTAACAAAATGACTACTTTTGGAAAAAGGGCCATGTTTTTAAAATAAAACTAATTTGAAATTAGAATTGGCAATAGGCTCACCCCCTATTACATGGGACTCATAACATAAATAGTGAAAAGTGGGTGTTACATTGTACAGTGGCATAATGTGCACCTCTGCCTACCCCTTCGGGGATAAAAGGCGTGATGTTATGATGATATGATTGTTATGATGAAATTAGAATTCTTAGCCAAACAAAAGATATTTTGATTTGAAATGGCCAATACTGCAGAACGGCAATTTCATGACATAATATTTAGTCCGTGAGCCTATTGCAATATACCGGGCACAATTCCAGACTCCGTGCTACTACTGATTTTTTTTTAAAAACTCAGTAATACTCTGCCCGACCCGGGAATCGAACCCGGCACGAAAAGGCCCGGAAGTCGCACTTGCGATCACTCGGCCAACGAGGCAGTCAAGTGAAAATCACTTCAAGGTTTTTGTAGACCTATTTCGAAAATTATAACATGTTACCTACTGAGACCGACTTTATCATTAAAATAAATCGTCTACTTTTCTTTGCAGTGACTGTACACCAAATTTTAAAGACAAAAAAAGAGACGTTACCGTCTAATTTGGTTGTTCGTTTTGATAAATGGCTACGTAATTACAAAATTGCATCAGACTACTTTCACGCGAATGTCGCAAAACTGAAAAAGACTCATAATCATGAATCTAACATTTTCAAGGCCAGTGAGGTTTCACGTGATATCAGAAGTAAGTATTTTATTGAAATTGCATCTAGTCCTCGAAAGGATATTACAAATTGGGTGGAATGGGTAGTTTAAACTGTCAAACACCGAGCGGTCACCGGTGACCGCAACCTATTGTTCTTTAATTGTGTCTATAATGACGGCACTCAAGGAGTACCCTATAATTATGTACTTGCCTATAGGCGGGTAAAAGATTTGAACTTGTATAAATATTTACTAGATACTTTTGAGTAATTGTACACATAAAGTTGACGCACGGATCAATTGGGTACTTTCCGTAATCAAAAATAAATTATTTCGACTGTTCGCAACAAATACAATAAAATATTAAAAAGCAATCACAGTTTCATTAATACATTTTATGATGAACTTAAAAATACTAGTTAAAAACTGGTATTTTTACCAGCATTTTTTTAAGAAATAAGTATGCTGTTCGATGCTAAAAAAACGTGACCTCATAATACACAATCTCGTACAAAATTCATGGAAAACTGTCGATTTTGACAGTTCGAAAAAAGTATTTATTTTGAGTAATTGGCAAGTACCCAAATCAGCTGTTGTAGGACTTTGTGCAAGGTATAAAGTACCTACCGTAATACGTAATTTTATTATGGGACAAGCCGGCAAATGAGCGGAAGGGACACCTGATGATAAGCAATTGGTGCAACCCATCAGTGGCGTGCAGTCCATATAGGCAAAAAGGCTTTGCTTGACATAAAATGTACAAACGCGTTTATTAAGATTCAATAATAAAATAAAAGTTTGTAAAAAAACGGCTAACATAAATATACATTCACATATACTATACACGGACCGCACGCCTTTGTAAAGCAATGAATGCGCCCCGCACGCACCACGCATGCGCTACTATTCCTTAAATCTTGGTTGTTGGTTGTGACGTCACAAAAAATATGCAACGCGCATGCGTGAAGGTCACGTGACTATGGTCACAGCAGAGAATAACCATTCATAAACGCAAAAAAGTCATTGCTGCCGGCCTTTGAAATTTATGAATCTGCGCCATCTATTGAATTTTTTGTTAAAACTTCTGAACACGTTCGATATAATGCGAATGTCTTTTTATAATTATGCATACTAAAAAATATGTTTCAGGTATTTTAATTAAATCTTAACATTTTTACGCGTTGTCGGTTTATAGAAACTTTAAACGAGGAGTTGACTTTATTATTTTAAAAGTTAAAAGGAATAACTTTTGAGTAGCGGCAACTTGACGTTTTGAGTTATCAAAACGTCAAGTTGCCGCTACTCAAAGTTTCAAATTGTTATCAACGAATGTTTCTTATTGGAAAATAATAATAAGACAATGACGGAATTCCATTTGACTTATGTAAATTAACGTTTTGTTTTTTTATAATTAAACACTGGGTTGCCTTAATGTTATAGCTATAATTTTTTTATAATAAACACTCAATTGACTACGATGGGTTCATTCATTCCAATGTTTTCGGCCATATTGTTTTCATGTGATGTGCGATCGCTTTGTTTATGTTTTCGTTTAAATTATAAGGAATTAGTTTTAAACATAAAGTTGCATAAATATGTGTAGAAGTAGTTAAATGTATGTGTAGGTTTTTCAAATAGTGTATTTGTTTATCAGTGTCTAGTACAAGTACCTATATTATTCGATTGTGAAGTTTGTGTTGATAATAGATAATTTTTTGTGTTTGTTGAAAGTTAAAAACAGTAAGTTTTCGCAAAAATGTGTCCTACAACGACTAGATTCAGGTAATGACCATAGGCAGTACTCAAGTTACGAGAATTGACCCAAGTCAAAGGTAGGTAATGTAAATATTATGTACTTTAATGGATCTTTTATTGATTTTCTTGTTTGATAATTCTTAAAAATATCAACTTAGACTTCGGGTTGTACTGATTTACATATTAATTTATTATTAATAATTATGTAATGTAATAACAAATGTACCGCTTATAAATACTCGGCTCGGCCACAGCCGGCCGCGCTTGTTATTGTTTTGTTTGTTGGTAGGTACCTACGTTCTTAAATTCGTAATATATTATGATTTTGAATAGATTATCTAGCAATTCGATAATTGAATTTGGTTCATCAAATTTATGCTTCATTATTAGTATAATTAATAGATGTTCAATTATTTGTAAGTTTTGTTGGCTTATTCCATAGCTGATGAAGTAGTTCACAAAAAATACGCGAGATGTCAGTGTATGTAATTTGGCGACAGAATAAACCACAATATTCGTGAACGCACTTTTCAAAATGTATTCTGTACATGTACCTGTCTTGTGTGAGTATGATTGTCATTGTATGATCGGGGGGGAGGGGTTTAATCTAAAGGGGGTTAATCATACGATATTTAATTGCCTACCCTGTCTCGAAAACCTGTGCACGCCACTGCAACCCATAGACTCCCGAAACACCAGAGGAGTTGAAAGGCGTTGCCGGCCCTTTGGGGGTTAATAGGTATTTGGTTATTGGGGATTCCGGGATCGCGAAAATTCGGGAATCGGTAAACTATACCTGAAAGTCAAAGCATTTATTTTAAGTTAACCCTAAATTGGTAGTTTTGAAACGTTAACGAATACAAAATAAATAACAGTCTGTCCGTTGGTGAAGCCAGGTGTTCGTTCCAAAGTGTAGATTTGATTTGAATGGAGAAGAACGACCAAGATAAATTCCATTCGTTACTCTTTTAAAAATATACCTACGTTTTACAATCTATCTGATAAATTATCCAATATTGTGTATACATATAATTTGTGAGAACAATGTTACACTTACATAGGCAATTCGTCCTTAATTATATCGAAAGGTATTTAAGAAATGTAGACTAGTGCACTAATTTGTTTACAGTATCATATTTACATTACAATATGTCCTTATGGGTACCTTTCGAAAAGTTCAATCTGGAACTGCTGAAACGTACAACTATATACGACAGACATCAGTTAGAGAACATGTATGGACAGTGGACAACATATGCCAATAGTATCGCAAACGTACTGATGATGGTGCCTAGTCCCGATGAATCTGGTAGTATATTTTGTTTACTTTTTCATTATACTTGAGTGTCCTAGGCAAACGTGGTGAACGGCGCCCTCCGCCTGCATAGGTGAAGTCAGGTCCGTAAACTGGCTGGCAGTGTTTAGATGAGAAGAGCTGAAGATCGAGCTCAGAGACGTGCTAGCGTGCTATGTACCTTTGTAGCAGTAGACGGACACCGTTTGATGACGGTGATGATGAAGAAGAGGTAGGGAGATGTACACATAATTAATGCATTAGGTACTCATTCTTTTATAGCTATATTGTTTAATAATTTAATTAATAGGCGTAGTTAGTATTATGTTGGAAAAATTAGTTTAGTTAATTACTTTGTTCAGCGGTGAACGTCTTTCGGTTGATAATGGTGATGATGACAGAAAATTATGAACGACTTAAGTTTTACCGTTAGGGTTATTGTAAATACAACCCGAGATGTTCGCAGGTCGTTGGGTTTATAAGGCATATAATAGGAAGTCGCTACGTGGTAGCTACCATATGCCTGACTGAATCTAAATGTCCCGGTTTGAGTAAAAAATAAATGATCACGTTAAGTAGGTATACATGAAATAAGATGTCCTAAATTAGTATACAATGTTAAAGCTACTTTCCCCTGTGCTACAGGGCTTTCCTAATACAGGCATCTAACTGTTCCGCGCGCGCCTAAAAGAGCCATCAGACCACGGATACCATAGGGCTGATGGCGATACGGAGCCGCGGAGAACATAGGAGGTTGACGGGGCTCCGGCTCGAAGTGCAGGATTAGGAACGGAGTGGTTTATAGTCAGTAAGAGTCTGACACTCCCTCTTTCCTCACCCGGGAGGAGGAGTCATTGGATGATTTTCCTCCCTTAAAAAAGACATCTTATTGTATAAGGTCTACATCGCTTAATATCGCAATAAAGATTATTTATATTATTATACATGGTATATCACAAATTCATTCATCAATTATTAACGTTAGCAAAAATATTGTACTTGGTCCACAATCATGTCAATCAGTGAGCTGCGCGACGTCGCCGCGACCGCGCATGATGCTCATGAGGAAGAACCCCTCTGTGGTTCGAAACTAGTAGAGCTTGTCTCAGTATATTCACGTGAGTAACCCGCGATTTTAGCCAACATAATCATGTCATGCGTTATTATGCGAAACGAAGTAATGCCGTATAAATTCTGCATTTAAAGGCAATCCCAAAACACTGAAAGTGACTTTAAAAATTATTTCAGATTCATGCGTTGGACATTTGGAGCATCAACCTATATTCCAATCCACTCTGACAAATAAAGCCAAATGTAATGTCCCAGCAAATTGCAAAATGTACTTAGAGGCCGGGTCTGGTTTTGGTTATGCATTATTGCACAGGTAGGTTCATTTAACAAAATACACTTGAGACCAAAGAAACGGAGCCATAGTGTTTTTTTCGTTCCTTGATTAATATTTTCTGTTACAAGTATTTCATTAATTCGTAACGTATACCGTATGAAAGGCAAGGCGCCTCTTTCGCTTCCTCAACAGTCATCAGTCGTGCTCGTCGGTTAAGGGTACTTGTATTGTAAGGCCATTATTTAAAATATCGCCAATCTGGTCGATCTATGTCCGTCTAGGCCCCTAGGGCGCCCTCTATCGACGGCCCTATTCATATCCACTATGTATACTTCTTTCGTAAATCTGCTTTCATCCATCCTTTCTATTTGTCCAAACCATCGTAACATTCCCTTTTCAATCCTTGCCACTACATCGTCTTACAATTCACCTTTCTCTAATAACACTACTTTTTACTCGATCAATTTATTTTACTCCACAAATGCTTCTCGGGGCTCTCATTTCCGCCAAATTAATTTTGCTTTCAATCTTCTTTTGTGATACCTATGATTCACTACCGCACATAAGCGTTGGTGTCAATGTCAAACCACACTGTATTATATCCAGTCGTTTGTTGGACATAATTTTAGACGACGTTGTAGAGTACAAAGCACCATTGACACTATTTCCCGTTTTCACTCTCCATCACTTGTAAACAGAGATCCCAGCTAAAGAAACTCATTCACTTGCCCCAAGATTTCATCACCTACTTATTCCTTTCTATGACCATCACTATTGTCTTCACTTTCATACCTTTCCTTGTGAATGTAACCCAGAATCGAATAGTAAAAAAGAATAATCATGGAGTTTCTTTCTTGTTCTTCTTCATTCATCTATAAAATTATTCACTGTAGAAGATTCAGAACAGTAGGTACTAATTTTATTATCTTTGTTTTTCAGAATCTTGCTTTTTGTTAATTCAAAGTATGGTCGAAATTGTGCAATGTTCTCCGAAAAAGAGGACAAGTACCTTACAGACAAATTGTGTTTCATGGCATATAATGAGAACCAGTACATTGCTCTCAGTGACTTTGCAGTGCCTGATTTGTTCGGGGAAAGCAGTACGTAATCAATAGTTATTGTAAATTAATTCGTAAGTAGGTACTGATCTCAGCGATACTATACAAGATTACTAAACTTTGAAATGAAATGTCCGAATATTACCGAGGTGTAGTGATGGGAAATTTAATGTAGGCAATTCAAATACCTATAATTTAATGACTGACAATTGTACAGCGAGTGTCATACAAACGAAATAATACGTTCAGTAGATATGTAAAAGTATTGATGTTACACAAATCTAAGTATAGCACCGATAATGAGTTACATACTGTGTAACGGTTCTATAATTAAGTATTTTGCCATAAGGCATGGGGGTGGGGGTTGCAACCAGTTACACCTGTGCGAGTAGCCGTGTATGTAAGTTAGGTTGTCGTTGAAATGTTTTATGAATGACCAATGAGTTACATCCGTGTGGCTTCACCCGCTCTGCTCGGCATCTACTGATCGGAGTGTTATATTTATAGCCTTCCTCGATAAATGGACTATCCAACACATAAATATTTTTTCAAATCTGACCAGTACTTTCTGAGATTAGCGCGTTTAAACAAACACGGTCTTTTGCTGCATGGTTGGCGCGGTGGCTGGGCAACTAGCTGCCGCGCAACGTGTAACGGGTTCGATCCCTGCACAGAGAGCCTTTTATCCCCGATGGGATAGGCACTTAATGTAACATCCACACTTTTCACTACATATGTTATAAGTCCCATGTAATACGGGGTCAGCCTGTTGCCATATACCGGGCACAATGGGGTAGACGACTAATTTTTATTTTAATGTCCGTCTGGTAGATTATTTAAAAACATTAGACACGTATTTTTTATTTTCTTACGGAAACGAATAGTTTCGAAGATATATTGATTTGAAATGTCGCGTGACGTCACTTCTCAGTACATTTTATACTAAGAAATGACGTTTTAGCCCCCACTCCTAAACTTTGATTCGTTTTATCTAAGTATTGTTTTATTATACAACAAAATAAAAAAATACGTGTCTAATATTTTTTTATTACCTAAGTTACGGACTAATTATATTTGTAATTTTCATACCCTGTCATCATCCCCATTCCAGACTCCGTGCTACTACTGAGACATATTTCAACATCATCAGTATCGTAATCACCCCCCCTGATAGTTAATTTGGAAATATACAACAAGTAAGACATACCGTCTGATTAATTTTGACGCCCGTTTATTTATTTACAGTTGCACTTTGCGGTTTGCTCGGTCATGCCCATTTTTTAACCAATTTCTGGGTAAAAAGTATCATGATGCATCAAAAAGTAGATGGGTGTTTTATGGCAGACGTAAGTAAAAGTAATGAAGACTTCAATGAAAAAACTGTGAACGAAACGAAACAATGGTCGTTATCGCAGGGCAATGATATGTTGAACGGATTTTGTAATAAGCACATGACGTCGGTAGCCTTGGTAGTAGTTACAAATGTAATAAGATTTATCACAGAAACCTATTATTAATAGATTGTTGTCTTAAATAAGTATAATATTAATTTAATTTTTAAAGATTTTTGTAATTAATATTTTTATTATTTTTTATTTCCTTTTGTTGTGTATCTGTGGTATACTCTATGGTCATAGTATAGTCTATGGTGATAGATTATCTATGTGCGTGGCAAAGCCCGCGAATTTGTAAAACAATTGAAGACGTAATAAAGGTGTGTGTTGATAGCTTTCTCTCTTTTTACATACTTAACACCTTTTTATTTTTAGGGACTTTTATACCGCACAATATATCAGTCCCAAAGTAGCATATCTATATACAGGATGGAATTATGTAATACCGGAAAGGGAAATACTCTTAATACTTTACATAGAAAATTTTACTCAATGAAAATATTCCATTATTTTTGAAAAGAAAGAAAACTGCATTAAAGATTTTGTTTAATTCGCTTGCCGTACACGGTTATCGAACAGACTAAAATGTGTAAAAGTTGCACGCTGTACATTTATTGCATCGATTGTTAGGGGCAAAAAGGATTAAATCTCTCTAACACACTTCATATATTTTAAAGAAATGAAAAGTCAAGCCGGCCCTTTCAACTGTACCTTAAAAAAACCTTAAAATGTCTCCCACACTTAAAAAAGGTATTTAGCGTAATGTGAATGATTAAAATGCAAGTCAGTAGGTGTCTATAACCGTTACTCGTTACTTCGTGCTTCCACAAGGGAATTTGAAACATTTTAATTTATAACTCAATAAGGACAAGTGAGGTACTATTCTGGTTGAAGTAATAATTATAATTACTACAAGTGAGGTGTACTTAATCATGTATTTTTAACCGACTTCCCAAAAAGGAGGAGGTTATCAATTCGGCTGTTTTTTTTGTGTGTATGTTACGCGATTCCTCCGGCGTTTGTGGACGGACTTTGATGATTTTTGTTTTGTTGGAAAGGTCATACTCTCGGGGTGGTCCCATTTCCACCAAGTCAGAATCTGATGATGGGATCCCATGGAAAACGAGTGGAACTTTTCAAAATTGTATGGGTGGCGAGAGCATTTGTAAATTTTTTGATATAGTATTTGAATCTACTACAATTAGTTGAAGGTATGGAGTGGATATGATGATGGAGTCAAGAGACAGTCGAGGGAACTCCTCGAGAATTTATAGCAATGACCCCGTGTATGGGATTCAATAAAATTATTTGTATTGAGAAGATCTTTACATCTAGATTGGATGAAATTGTCGTTAGGGGCCTGATGATGAAGTAGTATGATAGCTAAGGGAACTGCTCAACGTTTAACAGTAGCTACCTGGTGTTTGGGTTTCATTAATTTGTAGTGATGAAAACTTTACACCTAAGTGGGGTATGACTGTCAATAGGGGCCTGATTATGAAGGATTATGATAGCTAGGAACTCCTCAACGGCTAACAGTAGCTACTTGGTGTTTTGGCTTGATTCATCGCAGTGATGACACGCCGACGTCTGCTCCTGCATGCGACACAAGTACTTTCCAACTTTATATGTTCTGTGTTAATAACTATTATAACTTTCGTGAGACAAACTAAATTAATTATGATGTTATCGGCTTACTCATATAACATTTTGACAAGGAACTCAACTAGTTTCAAGCCATGCTTTTTTTTAAGGGGGAAAATCATCTAATGACTGCTCCCGCCTGGGTGAGTCGGGAGGGAGTATTAGACTTACTGACTAAAAACAACCCCGTTCCTTCTCCTGCACGTCGAGCCGGAGCCCCGGTAACCCGTTAGGTTCTCCGCGTGCAAGCCAAGCTAGAGGCTCATATTCACGAGCAGCTTTACGCGGCAACTATAGCGCTGCTACTGGCTTGAAACTGGTCGAGTTCCTCGTCAAGCAGTTACGTGAGTAAGCTGAAAACATGATAATTAAAACATGTTTATGACGTTTGGTGATTTGCTGCTCCAAGTTAACAAATCATACAGTGGCTAAACGCAGTTTCATTTTTATCGCGTAAAAATACAAAAAGAAATAATTTGCACTAGGCCCTCTTTACTGTTTTGTTTAGGAAACTACGTACCTCAACAGAATCATCTTTTTTTTTAAACTTGAACATTCAGCCACACAAATAATTTGATTTTCATATAAACACCTAAGTGAATTATACGGTGTGGCCGGGTGTGGCCAGTTCACACATACAAATAAGTTCGTGATTATGTTATAAATTACTTTTTAACATACATTATCGGAGCTGGATCAAATAAACCTACATACAAGGAACATATTAAGTGGTAATTATAAATAGAGTAGGTATTTGTTACCTATTTCTATTCCCACGTTATTTTTTTAATAAAACTTTTCCCCACACTAGAATTTTCTCCTGTGTCGTGGGTGCGTTTACAAACATACAAATTCACATATACATACATGACAACCAGACCCGGAACAACAATTTGCATCGAGTAAATTATTTTTATACTTTTCGAGATCTGTAAAATGGTTAGTAGATATCACTGTGTAGTGACCCACCCAACGCTTACTGACGCCATAATTAGTACCAATTAGTTTTACTATTAAAGTAATTGAAATGAGACCGCGTTGCGCGTTCTGATTGGTTGGTTCATTGGAGCTAGCCAATCAGAGCACTGAACGCGTACACGTTTCAATTACTTTATACTTTACTAGCAACCCGCCTAAGCTTCGCACGGGTGCAATGTACATGTATTATACATTTAAACCTTCCTTTAGAATCACTGTACTTATCTATTAAAAAATCCCATCAAAATCCGTTGCGCAGTTTTAAAGATCTAAGCATACATAGGGATAGACTTTGTCTTATACTATGTAGTGATACTCTTATACGGAAAAAAAGTATGAGTGTTATGTATTTTACATAATAGGATTTGGAAGACAAATGCCATAAAAAAATGACAAATGACAAAAATTTCGTGTGTTAAAACAATGGTTTGCAGCGTTAACTTCTTCTTCGGGAGAAGGAACTTAGGAAAACTAGGATCGAATATCTTTCCTAAAATAAAAGTAATAAATACTATATTGATATTTTGGAATTAACGAATATTTTATAATCATTTAATTGTATATACTGAATATAGGATCAATTAGTAGTGGGTTTCTATTATATATCTGATAACGTTTGCATAGGCTGCCACGGCGGTTCCCGTTGTGTGCTTGTTCAGCTCATTTTGATCAGTAACGTTCATATTTGTGTCTATATGTTCCATTCCAATTATATCTCCATTGAAGTACCCGTCTCTGGTTTGATAAGTCGTAAGGAATTTCATCCAGGAATTGGTTAAAAACTGAGCGTTGCCCAGCAACCCGCAGAGTGCAACTGAAAATAATGGGGATGATGACAGGGTATGAAAATTAAAAATATAATTAGTCCGTAAGTTAGGTAATTAAAAAATATTAGACACGTATTTTTTTATTTTGTCGTATAATAAAACAATACTTAGATAAAACGAATCAACGTTTAGGGGTGGGGGCTAGAACGCCATTTTTTAGTATAAAATGTACTGAGAAGTGACGTCACGCTACATTTCAAGTCAATATTGTCGAAAGTATTCGTTTCTGTAAAAAATAAAAAATATGTGTCTAATGTTTTTAAATAATCTATCAGACGGACATTAAAATAAAAATTAGTCGTCTACCCTATTGTGTTATTATGATTTCCTTATGTTATATCGTCGATTACCTAGGTCCTTTTTATATAGCTTGTTAAGTCTAAAGTAACTAATAAACACAAGATCTAGGTTTCTATATATACTTTTTCTAATGGATGATATGTTATGTATCCGCTTTTCGATTTTAAAATTCAAATCTAGTAAATTTTCAATTTGTAACTATTTTTTGTCGAACAAAAAAGAATCACGCAAATCGGTCCACAAACCTCGGCGTAATCCATGTCCATACATAAAAAATAAATACCTGCCGAATTGAGAACCTCATACTTTTTGGGAAATCGGTTAAAAAGAAATCAATCCTTACTAATATTATAAATCGGAAAGTGAGTTTGTTTGTTTGTTCGTTCCGCTTTCACGCCGTAACGACTAAACCGATTGCTTTGAATTTTTGCAGACGTAAAGTTAGAAGTCCGTATTAAATAAAAGGGTACTTTTTATCCTGGAAAAATTTGATATTCCTGAGGGAAAACAAAAGTATTGGTATAGATGGCGCTGTATGTATTGGTATATGTCACACAGGCTACTTTTTATTCTTTTTGTGACGTGAGCGAAGCCGCGGGTAAAAGCTAGATTTTAAATAACTTACCAATTTCGAAAACCAAATCGGGCATAGCAAAGTCGTTAAGCGCATTATACTGGCATTCAAGATATAAAGTGGAGCAAAACTTGTCCATTTTGTCTTTGTCTACTTCTTTTCCAAATACGGCACAATTTCGAGAATGCTTTGCCATAACAAACAGTAAAAGCCTGAAAAAGACAAACATTTTATACATACAATATGTCACCTGTTAATTGAGCTGACTGTAAACCGACACATGCGTACTGCCTTCAGAACTGGTCCGCTCAAACTGTTGTGGTTCTTTCCTCAAAAGGCCACTACAGAAAGAACTTGCACGGTTCTCACACATAATCTGTTATACATATTGTCTGGACTTTAAAAGAGACAGACCTCTGAGTTTGTTTCGGCATTTCTTCTCAGAGTAGTCAGTTAGGAAATGTCGACTTCATCGTTCGCTTGATAAAATTGACGTGAAAATTCCTGCCTTCTAGCCTATTTGCAGAAATAAATTCACTTGTTTCACATGTTTCACAATACTAAAAACAGAGGCTAGAATGATTTTGCTTCTATTGTAACTGGCCTATGTATGTGTAAGTCTAGAGCATAATCTACCCATTTTCTCTCATCTCGATTCCTTCAGTCGTTATGATGTGAAAGAGTGACAAATACATCCATACACAGACACTATAATACGAAATCAGTGTACATTTGTACATCCGTAGATAGTAAGCTGCGTAGCAGCACCAACAGCGCTCTGTCTGCGGTAGCAAGCAGGCTAGATAGCGTTTTTAATCTATTGTAATAATAAGTATTATTTTTTATATTTTAATTAGTATTATACTGCCTCATTGGCCGAGTGGTCGCAAGTGCGACTGGGCAAGGGGTCTCGGGTTCGATTCCCGGGTCGAGCAAAGTATTAAATTAAAGTGTTTTTCTCAATGGTAGCACGGAGTCTGGAACTGTGCCCGGTATATGGCAATAGGCTCACCCCCTATTACATGGGACTCATAACATAGATCGTGAAAAGTGGGTGTTACATTGCAGTGGCATTAAGTGCCGTAATGTGCACCTCTGCCTACCCTTTCGGGGATAAAAGGCGTGATGTTATGTAATTAGTATTATATAATAAGTTTTATTATAAAACACAGCAACTTTGTATACTACAACTAATGTTAAAATTATGTTTTTATTGAATAAACCAACCTGTGTGCCAATCCATATCCAAAAACATCTCCTACAAACAGGTAACTTATGCACAATGTCGGGAGTTTGCATTTAGCTTGAGCTATCCGAGTCGGTGGGAATATAGGTAGTCGCGCCAAACGTGCAATGCATGCGTCTGAAATAATTTCACAAAACTTAAATAGCCGCGATAGTGCGTAGGTGGGCGTAAGTTATCGAAGTTTATTAATTACTAGCTACTTCAACGTGATTTCACTCGTTTTTCTAATCGGAGCTGTAGTTCCTTTATGTAGTAGTAATACTATTATTCTCATTATATTATCACACTTTTGAATTTAGGTAAGTTATTACCTATATTCCTAATACATTACCAGAATCAATAAAGTCGCGGGTTACTCACGTGAATATAGCGAAAAGCTGTACTAGTTTCGAACAGAGGGGTTCTTCCTCATGAACAGCGTGCGCGACGCCGCCACGTCCGCGCACGAAACTAGTAGAGCTATTCTCAGTATATTCACGTGAGTAACGCGCCATTTTAGTTAATTTAGTATGTCTCACGATAGTTATTATAAAAAACATTACCAGAATCCTCGAGTGAAGGATGAAAACTCATATAGTTTGTGACAGTTTTTATATAGGAATCCCAATTTCCATATATCTCTCTCAACCGATTTCCGTCGTATATCGTCGTACGTTTCATAAGATTCAAATTGAATTTATCCAAAGGTAACTGCCATGAACTAATATTATATACCAGGTGTGTTACTGTAAAAATTGTTTTTCTTAATTTTAGAGACTATACATACATAATTATATATAGAGTATCCGGGTTTCCCTGAAGCCGACACATAAAACCGTGTGATCGCCAAAGTTATCAGAAGAATATAAAAAAAATCTATAACATAACATAACATCACGCCTTTTGCCACGTAGGCAGAAGTGCACATTGTGCACACCCTGTGTATAGGCTTACCCTCTACATGGGACTCATAACATAAATAGTGAAAAGTGGGTGTAACATTGAACAGTGGCATAATGAGCACCTCTGCCTACCCTTTCGGAGATAAAAGGCGTGATGTTATGTTATGCTATTCGCAAAAAAATTTTTTTCAACGAATCTAAACAAACGAACAGGGTTATTAGATATATTAAAATTTAATCTTATATATAGGTATGTAGGTACTACTAGGTACTCAAAGCATACCCGAGAAATAGATCCAATTTGAATAAACTGCTTACTTTGTGCTGAGGGACCGTATTTACGTAGCAGCCCCTTTCTTACATTTACGTTAAAGTAGTCCTTTATTTCGCCATACTTATGGAGCACTTGTTCTAAACGGACAACTAGTTTAGGTGGTAGTTTCTGTATTTTTTCCCTCAAAACTTGGTTTATTGTTACTGCAAAACAGAATATTTTTTATAGGATTGTTTAAGCACAGGTATATTAAAACAGCAAATATTAAAAACTTATTTATTTTATCTATGCAAAACCCAGATACAGTGTATCAGACAAAAGTATGGCTTGTTGTTGAATAACAGATTGCCATAGAAGCAGAGCAACAACAAAAACAATGTATCTATGTCTTAATACAAGTATCTACATTTAAATTATGTAAAATGGTTGTAATGAATTCTATTCTACCAATCAAGTTCTTTAATAAAATAAAAAATAAAGGAAGAAACTTTTTTAAACCTATTGCGATATTTGGGACGAAGGGTTTATGCGCAAAACACAAACACCTAGTACATGTAGATATTATGGGAATCAAAAAAAATATTATCATAATAAAAAATGAGGATGCCCATGCTGAATTGGCTGTCGTTTATTTGGACAGTTACGAACGACAGCTATTAAATAACAACAGAGAATGACAATCTATAATGCGACTATATCTATTTATTGGAAACTAATTGATTAGTTCGCGATTGGTGTTATCTTCTTAGGTGCAGAATAGAGCTCGCAAAATGCGATTATTTGTCTACAATGTCTCAGAAAAACAATAACAAAATGAAATGAAAGATGAGTAGCGTTTACATTTGACAAGTTTCTGAAAAATTGATAAAACGCTATTGTTTGATACTTATACATATGGTAATAGGTTGGTAGGTAGGTTGGTAGTACTTATAGATATACCCATGTATGGATCAGAAAGCCTCTAAATCGCCAAGATTGGTTTAAAGTTATAATACTTATACGCGACAATTTTACTCTAATGAGACTATGTAGTACATACTACGTAGTATGTACGACTATGTAGTATGTACCGAAAGTTGACCTTAAAAATTTCTTATAGTGAAACAAGTGAATTTATTTGTGCAAATAGCTACAAGGCAGCACTTTTACACGTCATAACAGCACTTTTACTAGTCAATAAGTATAATATAAGTATTTAATTCCTTTTTTCCTAATTCTAATAGATTCTTTATCGTTATCCGTATCCCGAGAATATTTTTATAAATTTAACAGTTAATTATGTTTATCAATTCACACATAACTACACAGTATGTGTAATTTTAGAAGTTTTCAAACTTAATTACGAATTTAATTTTTTTTTTCATTTTAAATATCGATTTCACTTCAGATTTTAGTCGCCATTACTTTCACATCACATAGTTTACGTTTGAATAAAAAAGTTTATCTTTTTGTAATAACACTTGCAGAATAGGGTACTTTCCTTAATCAAAAATAAATTATTTCGACTGTTTAATACTAAAAAATTTAATAAATAATCACACTTTCATTAATTGATTTTATGACCAACCCAATTTTATTATTTTTCCAGCAAATTAAAAAAATAATAAGTATGCAGTTTGACGCTAAACAAATGTGACGTCACAATACTCTTGTACAAAATTCATAGAAATCTTTCGTTTTGGACAGTTCGAATAAAAGTATTCATTTTGACTAGTTGGCAAGTAGGTACCCAATTAATTCTTACTATGTATGTGCAATAAAAAAAGCAAATAATAAATTGGAACCGATTGTAACACAACACAGAACTATAGGTAAATAAATATCTTACCTCCAGCTAAAAATAAGCCGAAGTCTAAACTCATATCCACGCCATATTTATTTTCAACACAAAAATCTACTGCTTTCTCCAATATACTAAGATAGTGGTCCAAATCCGATGCCCTTGGTAGATCATCCAAAATGTCCTGGTGCCTTTTTACAATAATATCACCATTTAAAGAAATTATATTCAATATTAAGATGATGGAAAAGGAGATCAGGGTACATGGTCGGAACTTGTATCTTGTATAATTCATTGTGAAAACTATACATACGTAACTCGTATATGAAATTTGAAAAAAATTCCCGCGAACTACATAAAGTGGCGACGACGGTATACGAATGGATACTGTTCGTATTTACTCATCTACTCTTGGTTTTTATATAGCGATAAGGGATAGAAATAGAGACAGACGATACTCATTTTCCTCGAATTGAAATCCAATTGAAACAAATTTCTCGCATCAATTCGCAATTTCTTTTAAAGTTTGTTGGTAGTTAGGTCATTTTTACTACTTTAAGTCGTTGTGATTTCTCGGAGGTTAAGACGCCCGCTTCTCATGCATGAGGGTGCGGGTTTAAAACCTACCAACGGCAAGTATCAATGTGTATTTTTCTGAGTTATATGTAGGTACTTTCTAAGATTAATTAAACACCACTGATAAGCGGTAAAGGAAAACATTGTGAGGACTGGACTTATAATTTCTAATTATTAGTTTGGAATCGCCGCAATGAGCAAGCGTGGTGATTAATGCTAAAACTTCCTTTTTGTGAAAAAAGAGGCTTTTGCTCAACAGTAGGCATTTATAGGCTGTTGATGTATGTATGTAAAGTATAAATACCAAATAGGTATAATAGGTGTCTTGATATCCTACTAATATTATAAATGCGAAATTTTGTATGGATGTGTGTGTGTTTGTTACTGATTCACGCATATATCTACTGATCGGATTTAGATGAAGCTTCACGGTAATGTAGGTCATACATCAGAATAATTTTTAACTTTATGTGCCGTAATAGGCACAGTCTACCTCTTCGAGATAAAAGATTTGTAATGTTATTTTTTTTCAAAATGATGATGGGATTACATGGCAATCGAGAAAAGTCGTAAAGTGGGTAATGGCCATTTCTATAATTGTACATAGGTAGGAATGCTATCTAAAGAATATGTAGGTACAAATGGGTGTTCTATGTATTATTAATTTGGACTCTAGGAAACACTTTCATACTAAAACCAGGGCCGTCTTAAGACTTCGCTGAGGCTCTTGAGTACACAATATTCTGTAGCCCTTGTGGAATGTTTCTTTTTTTTAACGTTGCACCTCACTAGAATTTTCTCCTTTATCGTGGGTGCGTTTACTAACATATACGTTCACATACACTCAAGTGTCAACACTCAGACCCGAAACAGCAATTTGTGGATCACACAAAGATTTGCTGCGGGCGGGAATCGAACCCGCTATACGTTGCAGGGGCAAAGTAGCGGATGTGGGTCAGTCGTAGAAATTGTCGGTCCTTCGCGGTCCCCTGAGAAAGGAGGCTCTAGGCAAGGACCCCGAGTGCCCATAGGGTAAAGACGATACTGACTACAACTGAATATGTAGGGGGAACTATCTCCTCAAAATGTCAGGTGCCTTTTGAAGGTTCCCCCCGAAATAAAAAAGGTTAGATTTCTAGAATTTTTACGCGCATTTAGACACTGATCAGTAATAGGTATCTATACAATGAGTAAATATAAACTACTTAGTTGCTGTGTTATTATTAATTATTAATAATTATAGTTAAATCTGGTAGGCGCCTTTTAGAAAATCAAACTAGAAAGAAGCGTTTGTGCAAATGATTGCAAAGCTTTTTGTGACAGGCGAAACTGATATACCTTACATTATTGGTTTTACGTAGGTATACACGCTGTTTTGTCGCGAAGAACCTTAAGGGTTACCGGAGCTCCGGCTCGACGTGCAGGAGAAGGAACGGGGTGGTTTTTAGTCAGTAAGAGTCTGACACTCCATCCCGCCTCACCTAGGCGGGAGCAATAACTCAATGATTTTCCTCCCTTACAAAAAATAGTCACGATTTTCTCACATCTAAAGTCTGTTTTGTCAAGAAATCGCAATAGCTCTCGAAAAATGTGACCTACATTATCTTTAATTTTCCAGCATTGTAACATGATTATACTACAGTGGGCAGCAGGTTCCCCTAATATTTTCTGACTTTCTCTATTAGATTTTGAACTCTATCGTTTAAAAATGCAGTCGGAAATCTAATGACAAAAATTGACACAGCAAAGTATTTTGATATATATGATATATAATATCTTCAAACACAAAAATCGCACCATAAAATGCTCAGTTGCATCGTAAAAGAAATACAAAAACAGACCATTTTTTAAATATACCTACATAATTGTTTGAGTAAATAAACAACAAGATTAATTTAAAAATAACTTTTCCAGAGTAATTTTCTCAGAGATTTAAATAAGAACCTTTGTTGGAAATATAATGAAACTTCTCGGTATATACCTATATTGAAATATATTACGGTCTCTGTGAATTATTGTTGGGATAAGCTTTGAGTAAGATTCGCCGCGGGTGACCACCTTTTCAAGTACTTCTCAGTGATACCACTATAAATAATCATTACGAAGAAAAGAATGAATGAATGTATAGATTTTGTTTTTAGAGTAAAAATAGATTATAAGTGTAAGAAATAATAGACTTTAAGTGTGGGAGAGCCATGCTTCGGCACGAATGGGCCGGCTCGACCGGAGTGATACCACGGCCTCACAGAAAACCGACGTGAAGCAACGCTTGCCTTGTATTTCGTCGTGTGAGTGAGGTTACCGGAGGCCCAATTACCTTCCCCTTCCCCAATCTCCCCAATCCCTGAATCCCCAACGATCCTCAAACTCCTAATCCCCAAAAAGCCGGTGACGCACTTGTAACGCCTCTGGTGTTCTAGGTGTCCATGGGCGACGCCGATTGCTTACCATCAGGTGATCCGTCTGCTCGTTTACCGGCTTATATATTCCATAAAAAAAAAAAAAAGATTAGAGAAGAACCATAGTATCCGAACACTTCTATTACCCGACTGCCAAAAAGGCTATGTTTTTTTTATTGGCACTTAGTTCAAGCTAAAGATTGGTTAGTTAACTTAGTTTAAGCTACCTCTCAATGCGAATTTCCGAAGTGAGCTCGATCAAATTCTTGCCCTCCATTGGTGGAGATCACACTAATATTGTTAATGTAAAACCTTCTTTGTTTCGATGTTTGGATGTTTGTACGTCAATCACGCTGAAACTGCTGAACGGATTTTGATGAAATTGGTATATAGGCAGGGTATGGGCTGATATAGGTGATAGGATACTTTTACCTCTACATAACATCATACATAGCATCACGCCTTTTATCCCCGAAGGGGTATAGTACCCGCGATATTTAACTAATTTTTTGCGAGTGTAAGAAATCATGTAGAAAGTGGTATATCATTTTATAATATTTAATATATATCGGGCTCAATTCCAGACTCCGTGCTACTACTGAGATTTTTTTTAAAAACCCATTAATACATTGCCCGACTCCGGAATCGAGCCCACTGATCGGCCAACAAGGCAGTAGGATACTATGATCCCCATTAAATGCTCCCATGGGATAAAACTGGAATCATATTCCACGCGGACGAATATTTAAATATTATAATAACTAGTTATTTAAATAAATTAAGAACACCTAATTAGTAAACAACAGAAAAGTATATATGGAAAATGTATTTTACAAATCTAATTAACGAAGTCACAAATATGGCTAATTGATTACCCTACGCACTAATCTGTCATTAATTGGTTTTACTGATTACTAGAATTTACATGTAATTGATAGGAAATTATCATAGGATGTTCATTAAAATTGATCATTTCCGATCATTGAGATTAACATGAGGCAGTGTCGTGACTATTTCTATGTAATGAGCTGTTAAAATGTCTTTGATTAATCATGTGGCAATTAGTTAGTTAATTAATTAAAATAATTAAACAATATGTCTAACCGATTAAAATTAGACAATACGGTTGGTGCGGTGGCTGGACAACCGGCTGCCGCTCAACGTGTCGTGGGTTCGATTTCCGCACGGAGCAACTCTTTGTATGATCCGTAGATTGTTGTTCGGGGTCTGGGTATCATACTGTAACTTGTATGTTTGTAAACGCACCCACGACACTGGAGAAAATCTTAGTACTTAATCTATAAACATAGGTTTATAAAAAAAAAATAGATCGAGGAGGGTTTTTTATTTGACTATGTCTAACTATCTACTAATAAGAATCTCAGTGTGGGAGAGCCATGCTTCTGTATGAACGGGTTGACTCGACCGTAGTGTTACCACGGCTTCATAGAAAACCGTCGTGAAACAACGCTTGCGTTGTGTTTCGTCGTACCAGTGAGGTTACTGGAGGCCCGGTTATCCCCCCCTTCCTCAATCTCCCTAATCCACGAATCCCCAACAACCCTCAAATTCCTAATCCCCGAAAGGCCGGTACATAACGCACTTCTAACGCCTCTGGTGTTCCAGGTGTCCATGGGCGACGCCAATTGCTTATCATCAGGTGATCCGTCTGTAAAAAATAGTGTTATTAGAGAAAAGTGTGAATTGTAAGACGATGTAGTGGCAAGGATTAAAAAGGGAATGTTACGAAGGTTTGGACGCGTAGAAAGGATGGTTGAAAGCAGATTTAAAATATAGAGGTAGAGGGCGCCATATATGGACATATGTCGATGAGATTATACCTATCTACATATTATGAAGTAAGACTATTATGAGTGAGTACTGCCGGGCTTCGCAAGGGGTCTCGGGTTCGATTCCCGGGTAGGGCAAAGTATTACTATTTTTTTTAATTCTCAGTAGTAGCACGGAATCTGGGATTATGCCCGGTATATGGCAATAGGCTCACCCCCTATTACATGGGACTCATAACACAAATAGTGAAAAGTGGGTGTTACATTCTATAGTAGCATAATGTGCACCTCCGCCTACCCCTTCAGGGATAAAAGGCGTGATGTTATGTTATTATAAAGTAATTTCACTATTTCAAGGACGGGACTAAACTACTAACCTAACCTAACCTAACGTCGGACGCTTATATTATCTTATTATATCACTTATATTATATTATATTATCGCTCTTGCTATCAGTTGTCGAGATAATCCAACAGTCAGGCCTCAGGTGCCGTCCGGCGTTACGGGACTTCCCCCTACTGGGTTTGTAAAAACCTCATTAGTAGCACGAAGTCTGGAAATGTCCTTGGTATATGGCAATAGGCTCACCCCCTATTACATGGGTAC